GACCATTTAAAAAATATTTATTAGTCATCTCTATTTCTTCTAATAAAAACATTCTGTTAGCCACGTTTGTTGCAGTCATTCTTTCCTCCTCAGTCAACTAGGAATGTGTATATATTGGTACTGAATGAGATCAGGAAAAGAAACTGCAGTTATTTAATACCTGTCTTAAATTTTTAGTGTTAATCTTTTTAGGTTTTCTACCTGCTAAGAATGTTTTAATTGTCTCACAGTTTTTGAAGTCCTTTTTATGTATTTATGTACTAATTCTATTCTTTTTTCTAAATTATTTAGTTTTGCTCTTTATTATTTCCTTTTTCTTAGAACTTTGCTCTTTTCTAAATTTTTGAGGCAAATGTTCTATTTTAATCTGTCTAATAGGGTTGGTTTTGGTTTTTTGGGTTTTTTTTTTTAATTTTCTAAGAAGTTGAGAATTTTCTGCTTGACCTTTTAGTGTTGAGGTAGTTTATTTTCTCTTTCTTTTTAATTAAAAAACATTTCCTTATAGCTATATATAGATAAGGAAAATACTCTGTGGATGTTTTGGATAAAGTAAGCCATTTCTATTCTAGATGGTATTGATTCCCTCCCATGTACAAACAATACAGACATTGACATCCCATAGTTTCTCCCTTCTCATTCTTTACTACCTTCCAACATTTTTATATTATGTTTACATTTTCATGGTTTGTGATATTTACATTGCCTTCAGAAATCATAATTCTCACAGTTGAATGCTCTTAGTTTCATATTTAAATGAATTCAGTGCTCACCATCATTTCTTTTACTGTGGCTTTTTCATTATTAGGTTATCTATACTAAGTCTAGACATTTAATTGGCTGGGTTTTATCAATAATTAAGTTTTTTAAATTTTTTTTAATTTTTAGATTTACAGAAAAAATTAGGCAAAAAGTACAGTGTTCCCATATGTCCCTTATCCCCTTCCAATTTCCCCTATTATTAGTGTCTTGTATTAGTGTGGTATATTCACTACAATTAATGAGCCAATATTGATACATTGTTATTAACCGAAGTCCCTAGTTTACATTAGGATTCATTCTCTGTGTTATATATTCTCTGGGTTTTAACAAATCTTTAATGACATGTTTCCACCATGCAGTATCATACAGAATAGTTTTGCTGTCCCAAACATTCTCTGTGTTCCACCTATTCACTCCTCCTTACCCTCCCTATAAGCCCCTGGTAACCACTGATCTTTTTACTGTCTACATAATTTTATATTATTTATTTTATTAAGGTATAGTTGACAAATAGAAATTATATATACTTACAGTGTACATGGTGTTTTGATGTATATACACATTGTAAAATGGTTAAGTCAAGCTAATTTACACATCCATCACCTCACATACTTATCATTTTTGTTATGAGAATATTTAAGATCTACTCTCTTAGCAGTTTTCAAGTATACTGTACATTATTATTAACTATAGTCACCATACTGTACAACAGATCTCCTGAACTTACACAG